TTGATTAGAGTCATATTTTGTCGTTTATTCTCATGAATAAATCATGCCTGAAATCATTTATCCATATTCACATATCAAAATTAATATTATATATTATATATAGTATAGTATATGCAGGAGTATACAATTACTTTGTATGAAAAGGCTAAAGTTAGCTGTTTTGCTGATTATGATTGCCCATTCAATACATTTCATGCATAACACAGTAGAATGACTTCATAATGTAAACATTAGGCATTAGGTAGGGACCTTGAAAGTGTGTCATGACTAAGCACACGTGCAACCGAACAAAAACTCTAAATTAGATGTCCATTTCTATAAACATATTATATGTATATGCACGAGGGCTGACCAAAAAGTTTACTAGCTAAAAAAGCCTTTTGGCGATTGTGATCCATCACGAGTTTGCCTACTTTAAAAAAAGAAAAATTGAGAAATTTTTATTATAATTCGAAAGAACATACTTTGGCATTTATTTTTTGAATATAATCTGTTTCATATATTGACCGCCGCTAATCCTCAGATGGTCCACTGCTGAGTCCAATTTTCTATAACACGATCAGGTATTTCGATTGTTAACTGGCGAATGACACGCGTGATGTTTTGCTCCAAGGCCTGAACTGAAGCGAGATTGCCCGCATAGACCATAGACCCGCATACATTATCACCACAGGAAAAAGTGTTGATGGTCAATCGACCGGCCTAAATCGTGAAATTCTCTGCTCACCGAAGTGTTTGCGCAATAAATCCATTAATTGAAGCGATGTGTGGGGAGTGGTGCCGTCTTGTTGAAAACAAACGTCGTCGAGATCGTGAGCTTCGATGACAGGCATTAAATAGTCGGTTAACATGGTGCGATAACAATCGCTATAGACGGTTACGAGTAATGGACCGATGATTCCAGCGGCTCACATATCACACCAAACCGTTGTTTTTCTAGATAAAATCACTGCTCTCTAATCTCTATAGGTTGATTTTCGTCCCAAGTGCTGTAATTTTGCTGTTTATATACCCATTAAGAGACAAATAGGCCTCATCGCTAAACAAAATTAGGCTCGAAATCGTCGGATATTCTTGGAACTACTCAAGTGCTCATAGAGCGAGGCGATGTCGCTTGGGAAGGTCGAGTGGCTTTAGTTCCTGCACAAGCTGTATATTGTACACTTTCACATTAAGATATCGACGTAAAGTGAGCCAAGTCGTTTCATACGATTAGCTGCGAACAGCGCCGAAACGAATCTCTACGATCTTCGTGTACATTCTTAGCTACGGCTGCTAAATTTTCTTCACTGCGTGCTGGACGTCGTCTATTCGGTCGAATATTATCCAATAATGGATGCTGGGTCTCAAGATGAATGATGATGTTGTGAGTACTACGCTCAGTATGCCAAATATGTTGACCATATTTTGAGCGAAGTGGGCGAAACACAATCTTTACAGAACGTGAATTTTCGTATTGAAGTTGAACGATTTGTAAACGTTGTTCAGGAGTAAGTTTCTCCATTATGAAATATTAAACAATACTGAACAAGATTAACATGACAACTTGACACGACTCACACGTATTCTGTCAAAATAGGCTTTTTTAAAAAAGTACCTCTACTTGGATCAATTATAAGTATAAGTAGGGCAAAGAAGAAATAATACTTGATAGTCTAAAAAATTCCTTCGTTGGCCGCTTTCTCTCTTGAAATTAGTTATCCTTAGTAGACATTTCAAAACGAAAAAGGGAGTTTCCCCAGAGTTGAATATCGAGTTCGGGCTTTCATAATTACTGGTTTCATACGGCGATCGCAACATTTGTTCACTAGAAGAAGACGTATTTAAATTTTCGTAAATCTAAATAAAATTTAATTGTTTTGGAATCAACCTACTCAGACGTTTGTCCACGCTTTGGTTATCTGCATAAATAATAGTATTAAATAAAAGGTGTACTGAAAATATTTATTCCCTAGTCTGTAAAATCTAGTTTTAAGAAACGCATTTCATATCCTTTTGAGACCACCCTCGTGTAATACCCGTATGTACTTCTAGTCATCGCTTGTATAATTCTATTACATGTAGATATTTACTTTCCAGCGGTGTTATATGTTTAACCAATGTACATGAAGGCATGTCATTGTGGATACAACTGCTATACACACACGCCTATAGTCCAGCCAACGCTCTGTGTCCTTATCAATATCAACCAACCAGTTAGTGTGGACGGTACGCGCCTATTCAAGCGTGTTGTTCAAGGGATTTTTTCTTGCCATGCCATTAATGTGCCGGCCGCCTATGTGTTAGGCAATGAAAGAGACATCAGAGGTATATTTCATAGTCGTGAGACAGGTTCCCGTGCAGCTGTCATGGCGTACACCTATTAAAAACGACGATTCTAATGTTCGGAGAGGGAGACATTTAAAGCAGTTCACATGAAGCATAGTGTACATAGATATGCTTCTGCTTTATATGCAATTCCTTCCACTTTCGCCGAGGACGCCGTGATAGAGTCAGTTTTGTGCTCAATTTCCTATTCGGGATGAAGTAGACGGCAGAACCGTCGCTCATTGGCAATTACAGCACACTCGGCTAAGATTTCAAGCATTCAACGTTGCAGTGCCGCTATTCAACGGACTCTCGAGTATGCTATGCGGTGCTGTATCGTAAGTTATTTTTAAACAAGCTGTCACTCGGTGCCTAAGTAATGCAAAAAAAGGGTAATAAGCGCAACTGTAACACCATACAAATTATTCCTTTAATTGTACATTAGCTTTATTATGCATTTGCTTAAGTGCCCTTGGCTGTCGCTATGCACTGGGGGAGATCTGTGGCGTGTTTGAGGCGCAACCGTGTAGCGACTCATTTTCAAGTTGTGCCACTTGAAGTTATTTTTAAAGAAATCTCTGTTGGCGCATGACTTGTTTTAATCAAATTAGTGATTCTGAATTCATAAAAGAAATTAGATATATATATATGTAGTATATACAGACACACATACATGCAAATTCGATTGAGTTATTCACTTGAAATGAAATGTGTCGGAAAGGCAGAAAATTGAAACTATAGATTTTGAAAAATAACAGTTCCAAAATATTTCAAGTGCTCGAATGCTCGAAGAATTATTTGTAGTGATTTGAATGGTATTAAGATGTTGAACCCATTGTTTTCGTGTGTTATAAAGGGTGACCCATATTCGATTTTCAAAGAAAAAACATAAAAACTTCAAATTTAATGGAGAATGTTTATTGTCATCATATTTTTATTTATTTTTATTATTATATTTTTCAAATGTTTTTTACGGCTACGTCTCAGATGGTTCATCCGTTAAGTCCAATTTTCGATGACTCTTTCGAGCATTTAGACTGGTAACTGGCGAATGACATGCGTGTTGTTTTGCTCCAAGGCTTGAACCGAAGCGGGATTGTGCGCACAGACTCTAAACTTTACATATCCCAACACGAAAAAGTCTAACGGCATGATCTTGGTGGCCAATCGAGAACACGATCTTCAATTTCAGTCATCAAGTAGTAGGTTATCATGGCGCGATAACGGTCGCCATTGACAGTAACGTTCTCACCGGCATCACTTTTGAAAAAATATGGACCGATGATTTCACCGGCCCACAAACCACACCAAACCTTTGTTTTTTTTCTGGATGAAATGGCTGCTCTTGAATCTCTTCAGGTTGCTCTTCGTGCCAAATGCGACAATTTTCCTTGTTTATTTACCATTGAAAAAGACGGAAAAAGGCCTCATCGCTAAACGAAATTTGGCTCAAAAATGTCGAATCTTCTTGGAACATTTCTAGGGAAGATCGAACGCCAGCAGTTCGTGCACAAGCCGTATTTTGTACACTTTTAATTTAAGAACATTCGTTCCATACGTCTGTCCGAATTGCTGTGATCGGCTTTATTTCTACACTGCGCAATGTATGTGGTCTATTCGGTCGAATATTATCCAATATTGAATGCTAGGACTAAAGATGGGTGATAGTGATGGCGAATAGCACGTTTAGTAGGCCGATTATGTCACCCAAAAGTTGAGCGAAGTGCGGCAAATACAGTCTTTCTACAGCTTGACACGACGCGACGGGATCTGTCAAAAAAAAAAATGCCATCAGAAAAAAAAAGAACTTTCCTTGGATCACCCGTTCGGGGTGTAATATGTCCTTAAAAATACACATGCTGGACTCCAGGACATTTCCTTAATGGAGAAGCGCTATCAAGTGAAATGAAGCGACAGAAGTAGACTCTCCCAAACGCCAAATGTACTCTATCGATAAACTCTTCACACTCAAAAAATCAAATAAACTCAGTTTGGAAGTCTCTACCTTCTCTCGATTGCAAATAATACATACACCATCGCTTTTTTCCGATCCAATATATTGTTAAAGTAAAATCAGTCTCTACATCTGCAAATATGTTTCATCGATTCATCACTCTCCTAACAAATATGCGAACGAAAGCTCTTGCAAAACTCAAATAAGAAATTTGTTTGCAAATTTTTTCTTAGCTTAGTCAAAAGCTCTTAGGAATATTTTTTAAATACCATTCACATTTCTTATATTTGTATTTGTATATGTACGTTCATCTGTATTCATTTGAAGCCGCATAACTTTGTGTATTTGCTTTTTTTTCTGCTTTGTTTATATCACAGTTCAGGCAAAGGAATGCCTTTTAATTAAAACATAACCAAAAGTTAAGTGCTCTTCTCAAGAATGAAGTAAAGTTATTTTTACGACGCTTCGAGATTGATCGAATATTTATGTGAAAACTGAAAATTTATATTAAGAAAATTTAATAAGACTTTTAAGAATTTAATAAGACCATTTAAAGTGTGCTCCCAGCCAAGTATTTTATTTGTGTGGTTTTTTTATATAAATATTTCGATTTCACATAAATATTCCTGCAATATCGAAGCGTATTTTAGAAAAAAAATATTTTTTATATGCTATATACATTAAACTTAAATTATTATATTTCTGTATATAATCATATTTTAATTTTAATGAATCAGCTTTAAATTTTTGCTTTCTTTCGTAATTTTTTGAACAAGTACTGTATGAGTTTGTATGCATAGTATAGTATATATGTTTGTAAGTATGTATTTATATGTGATCATAAAATGTAGTTTAGCTTAAAGGATTTTATAGATTGATTAAAATGTTTCAATATTTCTATTACAACACTTTTACCAATGGTTTTTTCTACGGTATCATAAAAGCTCTGCATCTGTCTTGATCAACAGAGATTCAACCATAAAATATTAAGAGCAATTTTCGTCGGCTCCATTTTTGACAACCTTGAGGTCATTCTATAAATAAATTTTAGTTATTTTGTACTGAAGAAGAATGCATTCCTGAAAATATTTGTATGTACATATTTAAACATACAGAGTAACGTTACGTCGTCCTAGGCTTACTTTCAAATCAATTACATATTTTTAAACTGCTGTGTGCTAAATATAGTATATACATACGTATGTATGTATGCATTTTTTGAATAGTACACAAGAAACATTTCCACAATATGCATATGTATGTACATATGTATATGTATAGGTATGTCTGTACATTTTTAATAATAAATAAGCACAATTTAAACAAACAATTTAATGAAATACAATTTGTCGAAAAGCATCACTTTAAGCTAAAATATTATTCGAAAAGACCATATATGAACGTGTGAGTGTGTGTGTGTGTATATACAGAAGTATCTACAGTTACATATATTTGTATAACAGTGCAAACCTGCATAGATGCGGTCATAGAATGCAAACTCTAAATAAATACATTATGCCCTTACACACATACACGCCATATGCAGTGTTCTAATAAATTGGGTGGTAAACGAGTACATATAAACAATTGCCTCCAAACTATTTCTCTTAAGTAATAAAAATGTGTGTGCAAATATAAGCAACGGCACACAAAAAACAATTTCATTCGAATTTGACATTTGCGGCAGCAGTCAGCAAAGTCGGCAAGGCAGTGCAATCATAGCTGCGCAGTGTTGTCAATACTGATTTACACAAAACATTAAATTATTTCTATCTCTTACTAATTTTTTAAAACTGAATAAAATAAGACATACAATTTCAATAAGAGCACAATTTTAAAACAAAATTATTAATATTAGTATTCACATTAATTAAAAAACGTTACTCAAAACTGTAACAAATGACACACAAATTCAGTAAGTGCGGCAACACAGCATTGCCTATCGATTTTCTCACGTTTTGACAGTTCTCTCTGTGCTTTTGTCAATTGAAGTGTATAAAGAAGTTTGCACGCAAATATCATTTTACTTGCCGGGTTTCAATAGAAAAATTGTTAATTATTCAACAAATTAAAAAGAGAGGTAAGTAATTTATAACTATGCAATAAGGCTGGTAAAAATATAGAGATTTAATTTAATTTGCAGGTAGCAAAATGTTTGGTACTTTGCAAAACTATTTGAGTGGTGTACAACGCGCTTGGTCCGCTGCAGATGGCGACTCCTTGTCTTCCTTCATTTCACTCAAAGACAAACATATAATGAATCGCAATCTCTACGTGGAAAACCCAGAAAATACAGTTGAACGTATGCTCGATCCGCCAATTGATGAAATAGTGTGCGCACATCTGAAGGTGCTCTACTACTTGGGCATGGAATGTAAGTGGACATATATTTGACATACTTTATATACATATGTGCTTAATGCATTTCTTTTTTGAAATATTAGCGCGAGACTTCATGCAGGCTTATCGTCAGCAGTCACAATGCATACAATCTGTTGTTAAAATGCTACAACAGTTGAAAGAGGAGAATTGGTGCCTGCCAATTATGTACACGACCTGCTTGGATTTGCGTATATTAGCGCAGAAATGCGAGGATCTTGGCAGTAGTAGTAAGCCAGGTGAAATACTTGAAAAGGCTGCCGACTGCCTAATGAGCTGCTTCCGTGTTTGCGCCGCAGATAATAGGTACATATAATTTATATAAATTAAAAAAAAAAAGTGAGATATTCTTTTACTTTTGCAGATCTTCTGACGACGACACCAAACGCCTTGGCATGCTCAACTTGGTAAATCAGCTATTTAAGGTGTATTTCCGCATCAACAAATTGCATTTATGTAAACCATTGATACGCGCCATTGATAGCAGCAACTTCAAAGACTCCTTCCCATTACCCGAGCAGATTACATACAAATATTTTGTAGGTCGCAAAGCTATGTTCGACTCCGACTACAAGAGTGCTGATGAATTTCTTTCATTCGCCCTGCGCAATACACCACGCAATTTTCCACGCAACAAGCGTCTCATACTGATCTACTTAGTGCCGGTAAAGATGCTACTTGGATATTTGCCAAAGAAACAAAATCTCGAACGTTTTGACCTACTACAGTTTCATGAACTTGCTGTCGCGCTAAAAGAGGGCAATGTACGCAAGTTCGATGAAGTTATACAACGGCATGAGATATTCTTTATCAAATGTGGCATTTACTTATTGGTTGAGAAATTGAAGTTCATTGTCTATCGTAATCTCTTCAAGCGTGTATATATAATCAAACAGACACATCAATTGGATTTGCGCGCATTTCAGGCGGCGCTGCAATTTGTTGGCGAGACCGATATGAGTATCGATGAGACACATTGTATTGTAGCGAATTTGATTTTCGAGGGCAAAATTAAAGGCTACATCTCATATAGCCACAATAAGTTGGTGGTGTCCAAGCAGAATCCTTTTCCACCACTCAATACGGTTTCCTAGGAGCGGGTTATGCGTGGCGCAGAGCTGCACGGACCTGGATCGTTAAGTTATTTATAAAACATTTTTATACCAACTAGTAATTATGGTATGCTAAAGTGACATATTTTATCGTATTGATTCTTAGATTTGCATGCTGTAGCTAGTATATATATGTATATGATAACTGTTAATTCTCACTTACATAAGTGTGTAACAAGAAAAGATAAAAGTATAATAAACAAGAGGACTTGTTATTTTCAAACGCAGATATGCAAAATGTGAATTTTGTAATTTTTGATAAACGCAACAAACAAACAAAAAAATCAAATTCGAACGATTTGATGGAGAGTCTATAATTGTAAAGTGATGTTCTAGATTCCCACTAAATTAGTAAAATTCTCTCCATTACACATTTAAAAAGCTATAATAACCTTTTCATACAAGGACTTAATTTTCATCAGCCAGTTTGTATGGAAAATATATGCTATAGTGCACCAGTATGAAAAATATGCATTATACGTTGCTTTGGACAATAGTTCATGCTAAAAGGAAAAGTTTCAAGTTTTAGATCGATATCTCAAAACCGGAACTACGAGCTAGCGTGTATACAGGCAGGCAGACGTCAGATAGAGGAATATGGCTAAATCGACTCAGTGGATTATTTGTATATGTACACTTTTTTTTTAGGGTATCCGACCGTTCCTCCTGAGTGTTATAAGCTCTGTAGCAAACAATATACCTTGATCAGGGTATAACATTGTTTTTATTTTTAAACAAAAAAAAAAAAATTGTTAAAAAGGTTTAAATAAGACCAAATTAATTCAAAATTAAAAAAAAGTATTAATTAAACTAATAAAAAAATTTAATTAATTAATTATTTAATAATTAAATTCATTAATTTTTTAAAATTATTAATTAATTTGTTTTTATTTATTTTTTTCTTTCAATTTATTATTATTATTTTTTTTTTAAGTTATTAATTAAAAATGTTTAATTTACAAATTAGTTTACAAATTAAATATTAATTTTTGAAATTTCAAGCACTGTGGCAAACTTAATCTACTTAGAGCAGGGTATAGTAATTGAATTGAATTTAATTTAATTTGTAATAATTATCTTTTTTTATTAAAAAAAAATAATTTTAAAATTAATTATTAATTAATTACTAGTTTAAAAAAAAATTAATTTTAATAAATTAGAAATATTTTTTTTTTGTTTTACAAATTTATTTATTTTTTAAATTAATTTTTAAACAAATAAATAAATAAAAAACTGTAATTATGTATAAATTGAAAATCTCATTATTAATTCAACATTTTTTGATTAAAAATTTTGCCAACCTGGCTGTTGGGCCTTTCGATCGACAAACGATTAGTGAGTCAGAGCTTCCTCAAATATATTAATACTATACTTCGATTAAAGTGCACATTAAGAACTTTACTGGTGTGATTATTAATTCTTCTCCGAACATTACCCTTCGTCAATTGTAATTATACATAATATGTACTTTTGTATGTATGTACTAAATCCATAATTAAATTGTATGTTTTTTAATTGTCACTGCTGAATCGTGTTAAAATTTGGTTTCCTTCATTTGCAGACATCCAAGAGTTTTATGAACTAACACTGCTGGATGACTCGAAGACAATACAGCAGAAGACAGCGGAAACACTGCAAATCGCTAGCAAATGGGAACAGGATGGTCATGCAATAAAAATCGCTGATGTAAGTAGAAAATTAAAAAAAAAAAAAAAAATGCTGAACTTCATAGCAGTTCATTTTGTAATTTCATTTTATTATTACTATTTTTGTGCAACAATTTTAATGAGCATATCAGAGTTTTTTCCTCTTTTTGGTTGGCATAAAGCCAGTGAACTTGCCAACTGTCGAAAACTTGCAATTCCATGCAGAATTCACTTTGTGGGATTTAAATTACATTATGCAAAAATTTGTTTATACTTTTTGCAAATTATTGCTGCTTCGGCAATTCGGTTAAGCTACTTTACATTAAGCGTTATTAACGATTGTAGCATTAGACATTTAAGGTGATGATGTTCAATTAAAACTTTCCAAGAGCGGTATTCTTTCCAAGACTCCTTCAGTACGTATTGTTGTCGCTTATCGTCCCATTTGACAGATGCTGGAAACGGGGATATCTAAGTATAGTATATCGAACCGATTACAGTTTTTGCTGAATTCATCTTTTTTTTTTGGTATTTTTGTAAAACTGCGTTTTTGCGGTTAATAATTTTGAATTTCAATAATATTTTTTAAATACTTTTTTTTAGTTCGTTTCTCACCCTAAATGAACAATTTTGTGGCACTATACGAGAAGGAAACGAATTTTTTGTAGTTGTAGTTATAACAGCAGAAAATATTTTCCTTTTTGAGGAATGAGAAATAAAAATTAACAACTGGATTATGTAGACCCTACTAGGTGCAACCTCCTTTGTCCGGTCAAACTTTAAGAATAAAAGCCGAAAATATTATAAATCTTTTCGCAACCAAAGATTTACGTCAGTATTTCATTTTCCCATAGCCGACTTGCAATTTTTGTATAATATTTGATTATCTTTTAATTTCATTACTTTAAGTTTTTAATGTTAAGGTAGGTTAAGGGTTTTTATATCATACTGAATTTATGGTCGCAAAGGTCCAGCACTCTGAACGATTTCAGGAGCTTGCTGGATGCGACTGAGGTGATGTGATCCCTGTCCACTTGCATGAATTAGATGGAATTTTTCTCGCTTGAAGCTGATAATATCTCTAAACCTTGAAAGTTTGTATCCTTGTAGTGGTGCATTCCTGCATTCCTGCTGCCTGCTGCCAGCGCTGTTCTTTCCTCACTCTCAACTCCTTTATGATGTGCGGCCCCACCACAATGCACAGTTCCGGCCCTATTATCCGGCCAGACCTCTGGATAGTCCTGCTAGATAGTAGTAGGTCGAGCATGGAATCGCTCCTGGCTTGCCGGCGCGGGATCTGCTGGCTAGGCGTCTGCGTATCATGAATGCCTTGATGGCTCTGGACAGTGTTAATTCCACGCGCCTATTCCTCAGTAAGGTTGAGTATAATGTGAGGCCTAGGAATTTGACATCTTTAGACCCCTCCAACTCCCTGCCAAATGTGTAAGGGGCCCCAAGCCCGGAAAGTATATCCGCTTTGTAAAATGGACGACGGTTGTTTTTGACGAGTTGATATTTAACTTACCGTGTTGCGCCATCCCTTCGCTAGACTTAAGGCCCTTTGAACCATGTCGCAAATTTAGCTCGCGTCATTTTGATAATTTCAATGGCGTACCCCTGGCACCGAATCCCATGGTTAGAGGGTAGCTTAAGGAGCTCATCTACTATTAGACTGATAGATCTACTATTAGACTGACACATATCGCAACCTTGCAAGTTCAGCTGTGTGTTGGTACATAGCAGTGCGCCTTCGATCTTATATACATAGTTCTTCGCAATCTTTCCCATCACTTTTACCATGAAGGAAGTAAAACTTATTGGCCTGAAGTAGTCCTTCCTTCCGAATATGTAAGATATTTTATTAAATTTTCCGAAATAAAATTTAAAAATTTTCAAAACATATTTGACAAACGTAGTTTAACAGTTTAGTGCTTCTTATTTGGCCTTCAAACCAAGATCCCGGCACTCTAACCATCGATGTGTGTGGCCTAGTGCTGTCCTCTCGCCCTTGGCTAAAACAGGCCGCTTCTGAGCGGCTACCTTCAGACGGTCCAATTGTTGCAAGTACAAGTTCGAACCATCCGCTAAGTGCATGGTTATAAACAGCGTATACGTTACCTAAGATCAGCAATCAAATGGTAGTGGAGTATAACTGAAATTGCTCTCAAATCCTTCGGATTAAACTTAGAATTAAAATATTGAAAGATTCAGTGGAATGAATAACCGTATAACACTTTAAAATAGCTCTATGACCTAAGTTTCAGCCTTATCAATAGCAAAGAAATTTTTCTCCCAACAACAACAATCGTAGTTTGTAAAATGTTGTGTCAAGTGAATTTATAGCCAGGTCCATTGCATGTGTATGTAAGATACATACGTATGTATATGCTCATATGTAGTGAATATATATTGAAATTGCCACAATTTAACACGACACGCGAACTGTTGCTGGAAAGTGTTTATTAACGATACAACAACAACGTTGGCTGAAGCGCTAACTACGGCGGTTTAGTATGCGTGATTGTGGTTACTTTGCAAGCGATAGCACTAAACCACGTTTAAATGATGGTTCATATGTATAGTACATACATATGTGTGTTCATCTACACATGTTTGTACACCCAAAATAAAATAAAAACAATGTTTTTCCTACAGTAAAAGAAATTCTATTTTTTTCTAAAAAAATATTAAAATCAATGAGCTATTTAGCTAACTTAGTACAACTAAAATACCACTTAATTCCAATATATGTATGTAAATATTTGCATAACATACATATCTTTCCATTTTCCTTTTTTTTCAAATAATCAAGATTTTCCTTTAAATATTTTTGCTTAATTTTTTTTTCTCGCTTTCAATCAAGCAAATTAACTCAAATATTTTCAAGTGTACTCCTTGTGAAAGTGAGTAAATATGTATGTAATTATTTTGAAATGTAATTTAAGCGTCACTCTGACGTTAAAATGACGTTGACCTAGTTCCGTTCAAACGGTATACGCTGCACATTACTCTTCGGTGCGTTCTAATTAATTTATTGCAACCCTTAACGATAACAACAACTACAAAAAGGCACAAAGGAAATATGTAATATATTTATGTACAGAAACAGACGTGTACATAAGTACGCTTCCCTGAATGAAATTATATAATTATAGGAAAATTGTGCGTTCGTTGCTTTTGAGGCACTTTAACAGTTCTTCAATAAAATGTTTTAATATTAAACTAATTTAAAGCTATCATTTCGAGTTAATTTCTCTGTTTTATTAAGTTTTCACAAGATGATCTGTCCAAGAGTTTCTTCAGCTGTGGCTGTTTCCCCTGGAAGGTAGGCCGATGCAAAGTCAGAACCTTCCTTGTTCTTCACCTACACCGCCACAAGATCCTGCGTTAGAAACTCTGTATTGCAAAAGAGATCTAAATCATTTCTAACTACTACACACTCGCCTGAGATATCCCAAATTACTTTGGCTTTTTCGAATTGAGGCTTCTTACCCCTTAAGGTCCATCGTTCCTAGATCAATAGATTGCCATCGTGTGGTGTAGCTTCATCCGGGCAACTTCTATGCACTGGCGCTGGAGGTCACAGGACTCGTTCTATGAGTGGCAGGTCTTCGTCACTCACTGTTCTCACCATCCTGCTCCTTCAGCCTGCGCAGGAGCTCCTGTGTGGAGACACATTTAGTTCTCCTCCTGCGACAGTGGCATTAGCATTAGCTCGACTGTGTTAATGCTGGAATGAATAAATTCCTCGTCCACTAGCATCTGTTGGTTCTGGCTGTCTCTTTTCGCTGACGTTTTAGGATTCCAGGGCCTCATCACTACGGCGCTGAATCTATAATTCGGCACAATAACGTTATCATTTATATTTCTACCATATACCTATATATGTATTGAATCTATAATTATATTCCTGGGGTTTTCCAAGAAGCGATGTATGGAGCATATCATCGTATGTTGGTTAAAATTTTTTGGTGTACTATACATGCCCTAGCTGATCGATCCTGCCTGAAGTGGTTTGCACGATTTATAGTGGTTATTTAGATTTGGAAAACAACGAACGTCTTAGGCGGCCAGAAAAGTTGAGGAACTCGATGAAGATTGTTGCCAAACACAATATTCAGAGCTCGCATAGTCTTTAAAATTCACTGAAGCACCCTTTTCAAAACTTTTGAGAGTAGCCAAATACATTCAAAAGCAATGGAATTCGCTGACAAATAAATTTGTTTTCAATTCATAATTCTGGATTCGTCATCTTTTCCGCGCTTACTTCAACCTTCTTGAGGGTCAGTGAGCATATTTGCACTAATAAAATTCGGGGTCGTCGCGAACTTTTAGCGATTGCTTCTCACCGTCTTAACTTCGGGTGAACTCAACAATTCATTCTAGGTAGTTGTCGATTATATCATTCCAAGACTTATATATTAGTATATGTAACAACAATTTACTGCGTGCAGAAACAATAATGGAAATCGAGAAGCGTGTATGTTACTAGATCACGCATTCGTATCTTTAGCACTGAACATACTTTCCGGCAGAATTTTCTACTAATAACCTATATGCTTTAGAGATGCAATATCGGTGACTCCAACAAAGGAACAACTTCTTAAGTGAAAAAAAGACTAGTGCCAAATTTCATATCAATTTTACAGTTTACAGTCGACGTACAGGAAGACCATCAACTGATGATCAACACGTCAATAAAGTAAAGTAATTGATGCTTCAGAATCGAAGTTTAACAATCAGAGATCTTATTGGCATCGTTGAAATATCCGAAGGATCAGTGAAACCTTTTTGAAATATCATTTGTTCCTAAGAAAAGTGAAAGCACGATTGGTTCCAAAATCACTAAATTATTTTTTTTTAAACTTCGTCGTGTTAACGTCTGTGAAAAAATGCTTTCTGACTATCGGGATGTCATGAAACGTTGGCGATGAGTCTTGGATCCATGCTTACTACCTGAAAACAGACGATTAATCGGCCGAATATCACGTCAAAGATGACCCGAAGTCGAAATATGACGTCAAAGCAAGTCTAAAATCC